TGTCATGGCTTAAGTTGAGATTTCCCGTCGCTGAAAATGTTGATCCAATCCAAATATGTTAGAGTAGGTGGTTAGAAAGTTGTAACCGCTCGGTTAACGCTTTGCAATTATTTGTTGAAGTAGTTTCCAAACAGTAAAGCACAGGTTTTGAAAACTGAGTCTCCAACTAACGAGATGAAAGCTCTTGCTGACAGATTACTTATAAAAGATGTTAAGAAAATTACCACAATTTAAACAAAGGTTTAAAGACAAAGGAAGATATCATCTTCATCGTTAATCCAATTAAGCTCATGAACTCAGAACTCCAGACAATAACATTAAACAAACGAAACATCCAATTCAATCATCAATATCCATCTGAAGGTGAGACAATGAATGAGCTAATATCAAAAACACTGATGATAATATCTATAGGTAAACACAGACACAATACATTCCAAATGTTTAGGTACCAAACAATGATTAGTTACTGATCATTGAAAAAAATCGAACCTCTGCAAACATATGCTCTGTGTAATTAACCAAAATATAGAGCTGACGGTGACGACCATATGACTCAAGTTATAATAGCAAGGTCCCGAACGACAAACAAAGACCTTGGTCAACACTTGACGGACTCCTACGTACCACATGATGAACGACATCTGGATAAAGATTTTGTATCTGTACTATCAGATTGGTAAGAAAATCCCTTTGAAACAACGATTCTTGCGTTTATTAGAAATACTCAGTAAATAAATCTATTAATAGAAACTGTCTTGTCGCAGAAGACTTATCAATGAACAAGTGCCTACTGCACAGTTTCTAGGAATAGAACGGACGGAACTACTGAATTAAGTTTAATGCACTTAACGGTTCTGAGGTGACTAGATATTGAAATATAAAGGTAAGATTTCATAACTTGAGGTATTCGTAAATAGTAGTGTGTACCAAAGCTTGGCTAAATTAAGATACTACGAGCGAGTGCATATAGCTTGTCACTCACACTAGGAGCGGAGATACGAACATTTATGTAACGAGGTTCGTGAAAGCCGACCAATCGCGTTCGAACACGCCGCCGAGCGCGTCGTAAACTCGGCACATACAAACAACAAGTCATGTGAGCGCACCGCGTCCAGGCGCCGCCATCGCGAGCTCGACCATGACCTTCACCTGTGCATGTCGATGAATCGCTGTAAACGCAATTACTATGTACACAAACCAAACACTAGTAAGAGTACAAAGGACTGTCAATAAAACATGAGAAAAAAAAATAAAAGATCCCGTCGCACTGTTATTACGGTGCAATTTGTACAATGCTGGACGGAAGTTTAAATCTCTAGACAATGAGACCAATGACGTTATGGCCGTATTTTAATTTGCGAATAGAGTCATCATTTCAAGAACATCATAAGGAAAGCATAGATCCAAATGTTTGTGAATGGTAAATGACAAACCAAGGTCTTTCAACTTAAACGATGATGACGATAACTTTATTGTGGTTGTGATGTAAACTTGTAGAGGGCAAAAGTTGACAACTCTAATTAGTGTTGTTGCTTGTAAATCTGAGATGACGCAGCTGAATATTGTTCTAATAGAGAGGTCTTTACCTCAAGACTCGAGACTTCCGCGTTAGATGTAAACGCTTCCGTGATGCAACCAGATACCTAGATAAGTTCTTGCGGAGCTAGCGACTGTGAAAGTTGTCTCTCAGTAAATGTCTTTAAACGTGTTAATACATGTGGCATTAATTGAAACGGACGTAGAACTGACATTCTCCACTAACGGCAAGGTCGTCTAGACATGACCGATCAAGGTCGTACTCTCAAAACAAGACAAACTTTAAATCTAAATATACATAGAACGAGAGCAAACAATGCTTCAAAGTGTTCTGTGTAATTGCATTATCGGGTGTGTTGTTTTGGCATTGTAATGTATGTTGTGTATTTTGAAAATCCTTTGTGATGCCAAAACTTTCTTCTTGAAATTCCAAACACAACGTGATATCCTATTTAATCCGATCGGTTCAAATCATCATCAATCATCAGCGGATATGACATCTATTTTTGTCAGAGTAGGTTTATTTATTTGCAATTACATTGTGCTGATTTAATCATCAAAGCTTTAATGATTTCGATTGTTATTCTACTGAGCAAATACATTAAGGGGATTCCCCCGAAGCACATCATATGGCATAATGTATATCTCTACGACATCAAGGTTGATTTGTTACAAATGTATAAGTAATTCGTCGTGACATTTTCCTTTTCGTCTTAGTCTTAGTACACTAGTGCACTAGTAGGTACTAGACTGTAGACAGTCTACTCTAGTATACTACACCATAGATCTATATCTATGGAAAATTTATTAGTTTGGATGCATCGGGAGAGAAAGTCGACTTGGCAGACACAAAGATCACAAGCGAAATGCAAATGCACTTCGTAGGTACCTACATACTGAAATGGAAATAAGTCACGTGAAGCTTGATAAAGGTCGGGTTATACACGTCTTGGCACTAGTACTTACACAGTTTAATAACAAAGTCTCATGAATATCGAAAGATCATGCTGGTGCACTGTTTGATGGCACGGATCGAAGAATAACAAAAAAGCTTCATGGATCATTAAACAACCTAATAGATCTTCAAGCGAAAGAGAAAGATGGTAATAAAAATCCCTGAATCGAAGCACGCGATGTATTCGTGGCGACCACGACCTAAAAACATAAAGATAAAACGATGAACTTTACGATTGAAGTAATAGACCATCATCACAAGGCGGTACTTAGTGATTAAATCATTGATTTATGCTTCAGGATACCTTCAAACCGCTTTTCACACACAGCTAAGATAAAAGTCCCTAACAAAACGTTGGTTCATTTTAGCAAAAGTAAAAGATGTCAAATTCTTTATCAGGCGCCCAAAAGCCTTTATAATACCTATTATCCATATCATTGATTATAATAATAATAATCGCAAGCTTAATTGGGGCACACATGTATAAAATGATAAAATTGATTAATATACCCAAATACTTGGTATACATAATTCGTTTCATAATCTAATCTAAGAAACTACTAAATATGAAAGTATAACAAATGTTTGGAATCAAAGAGATAACTCGAATGAAACAATAACAATGAGAGAAGCTTGCTATCATAATAATAAAGACAAAAAGGGAACTTTTAATCGAAGCATGTGAAAGCAACGAAATGAAAATTCTCTATAAAGCGGTGAGATTTTTCGACATACCACATGACGGAAAGTGGGTGCGTTGGACGGTGGTAACGATTTTCTCAGAACACAGCTGAGACGTGGTTGTGGACTTGCGCATTAGGTTCTACATCCACGTGGATACTACACAATTACTGCTGGAAAAAATCCGAACGATTCTAATAAAAAGACGTCACAAAACCGCTGTATGGAAATGTGTGGGATGGTGTGTACTCATTAAAAACTGCCTGGTATTCAGGAAACTAAATTTTCAAACCAGCTGATACTTTTGGCGAAACAGTAGCATATGGGAGATGCAAGGAAAAGTAATCAATGGGAAGTGAAATATAAATCCACGCTTATTGTTATATACCTAGAAATGTTAGACTGATGCTGAAAGTCTAAAATATAGTTGCAATGTCATGGATCTCGTCGCCAGACATGCGCAGAACGAAGGGTAGTGCCACGTGGCAATCTCCCGTTGCATAACCTTTTCCCATATTGCGGTTATATCTCCTTCAATCTCTATTTAAACGAACACTTTGGAATTTTTTCCTGGTTAATTCCAATTAGAGGATATAGTTATTGGAAAATCAATTAAGATTTTCTGGAATAATATACAAAAGATGTCTTGTCTAAGATTTGTTTTAATTAATATTCTTAGCAGAGAATTGTCTTGCGAATCACTCGCTTAATACGACAGACCATAAAGTGTCATTTTAATCGTATCTATTCTAATTAAGTTAATTAGAATGTTTCGCGTGTCATGCATAATTAGCATATCGTCGTTTATTACGGGTAAATGAACCTAAGTTTGTTTAGCTTCATTATAATAAGTGAGAACCACATCTAAATATATTGACACGTTTGGATTTTGTACTAAATGTGTTTAAGCTAATCAGGGACTTGTAAGATTCTTATTGTTTTGAACTACAAAAGTTATATGCGCTAAGATATCAGCAACTGGAGAATGTCCCCAGCTGCTACTACACTACCCTATTAGTGGTAGTACTATGCCATGTTGTAGCCACGTTGCACTGTGACTATGCGCACACATGCACAATTTTAAGACACACAAATGCATGTTCTGCAGAATGACTGCGGAATTCGCCCGCCATTTTAAACAGCACCAAATTACAAATTGCATGCGATTTTAAGTTTCTCACAAGGTATTCAAAGAATTTTCATATTCAAATTGCCAAAGAAGACAAATAAGAAGTTTAAAATGCTCAAATCAGAGTTATAAAAGTTAAAAGAATCTCGACATTGGCTGAGTTGTATAGAGGTTCGTGCGATTCATTCAGTGGTGCGAAATGATTAGCCAACGTTTTCTTGAGCTAGTGACCTCGGACGAAATCGTACTTTGAATTTGAACAAAGCAATAATATAAATATACTTGATGGATTAAAAAATCTTATTGCAAAACCACTTGCACTTGAAAACATATGTCAAGTCATTACAATATGTTTACACACAACGTACCAAGATAATTATATTGCTCGCCTTCTTTCTGTGTAGTCCCGACTACAACAATGTCGTACAACACAGCCAGAAAGCGAAAACCCGCCATAATGTAACGTGGACGCCACGAGTACCTACGCCATGCTGCGACGCAACCATTTGTCCAATGATTGTATTTAAAAGAAGTATTTCTGAGTATTTGAGGCACAATATTTACACTCTCGCTTTACCGCCACACGGACAGTTGTAAATCCTGACGTAATTTCCGTAAGCACCATATTATTATGAAGCCATGTGCCGAACACGTCGGCGCGCCACGGCTTGCCATATTAGAAATTCCAATGCGGACCTTAAAAAAACTCTTAGTTTCCTGTGGCACTTTACAATATAATCCATTTATATTTGTCAAAGACTTCGCAGAACCACAAATAAGCAAACTGGATGTTGATAAGAACGCGGATTTGCTGTATATCCATATTACGGTAGAGGGATAGCGGGGTCGCATAGAGTATGCGACGGACGCGCGCGGCAGCTGCGGGGCAACTAAGGCGCGACGGCCACGGGTGTGGTGCTGAGGGGGGGAACTCGGCGTGCCGGCGCGCGGCGTGCGGGGGGAGAGGCAGGCGGCGTCTGAACCACGTCTCTAGTTCGCTAGTAGGGGCCCGCCGTGAATTGTGCAACGTCAGCAGGCGCGTGCGTACAGACTTACCCAACTTCACTACAAAAACCTACTTGCGTCCGCGATTATGCGAACATCATGTTTTCACACAAACTCGTTATACTATGCCCGATGTTACTTTATAATTATCGTGGGATGCGAGTCGCTTCCATTAACAGTTTTTTCGTTACTCTAGTCAAGGCTGGCGTTGTTTTTATCACATTAATAATTGGTTAATATTGTCTTGTAAACGTGTTGCACGTTCGAATGATCATAAAGCTGTTAGTAGTCTGCGGTTTACCTGTATAGGAAATTCCTAGCAATTATGAAACCGACACTTAAACAATGTAAGCAAACACATAGTGGGAATCGTTGCAAATGTCAAACTCATTCCTTGGACATCGATGATTTTCCCCCCTTAAAAAAAAAAAAAAAAAGCCCACAATAACTGTAGGAAATCTTACAGCCTTCAGTGGCAGATTGGCACATAGCACCAGAGTCCAATATGTTTCAAGAAGAGGTCACAAGTCTTTAAATAATTTAATGCCAAGCACACGATATTTTAATATTGATGTGATTGATTTAAATCGATGATCTAATCGAGAGGAAGAGGTAAACAAAACTGCATATAAAATATGGGATTTAATTGATATTTATAAATTGAAGGACTTCTTCTACAAAGTCAAAAATTACGCAATGTTCTAAATTAGTGCATCGATGAAGTTAAGATAACCATATCCAATGTACTAAAAACATTGCATAGAAATATTGCACTAAACGCAGATAAAGACAAATAAACAAATAAGAGCAAGGTTTAAGTAGATCCTAATCAGAAATAGAAACGTCTGCGCAAACATGATCATCTTCATCGAATCGGTAAATAAGAATCTAATAAGATTTTAAACAAATATTGAGCATACAATATTTCTGGGCGTTTAGTTGGAAGACAATTTTAAAGTAAAACAAAATCAAATCGTCTTTAACTCTAGAGAAAGAACTTTAAAATTTGAAGTAAGTTTTCTCGAAACTACTACATTTCCTATGCATGCAGTCCGACCATCGCGTTTAGACATGCTTCCGGTAATAAAACATACTCGTAAGAATACAAAAACCGTTTCTTGTCGACCAAATCAGCCTTGTGACTTAGTGGAAAATTTGAACTACCTGGGTAAAATTAAAAATATGATGAAACCATGTTTATAATTTTGATCCTGAAAAGTAAAAAAATAAAAAAATATTAAGGGATAATTTTGGGATAGTAGTGAGTAAATTTGTTTCAAAGTATCCTCCTCGCCTAGATGTGGGTGACCATGCAAAGGAAAAGGATAGTTAGACTTAATCTTGCCTAGGACCTACAAGTACATCTTTCTAAGTACAAACTAATACAATTATGGATTTTAGTGAAAAATATTATTACCGAACGAGCTCAAGGTGCCAAGGTGAGGTTGCACAACACCGAAAGAATGTTAATACAATTAGAAACGACGATAAGAATTAGCGTGAAGAAAAATCAATGGCGGACATTTCCTGCGATTGTGGACAGACTACGTTACGGAGTTGATTGTTGATTAAACCGTATCATCACAGCTTTTATTACTTGCGTAAAACATCGCAGATTTATTTTGGGACTATCAAAATCTCCGAGTTCTGGAATTGAAATGCCCGAAGGTGTTAATGGAAATTTAGACTCAATGTCATTTCATTTTGATCGAAAAAGTTGAGAAGAACCTAGTAGACCTCTATGAAACTCCAATTTCTATGGTTTGGATGAAAATCAAACTTCTTCTGTTGAAACTTTACATAAAATAGAGACAGCACACCTCAATCATCATCCAGGCAGTCTATAGATATTTTTGTCATCTTCTAAAAGAGTCACAAGGTAATTAGAAACCCTTTGTATTAACAAAGTATATTCATTGGCAGACATCCACACGTGTTTATGGAGCTTTCTTCCATTGTGTTAGTTTTTGATTCAAATCCAACCACCTGTTTGTGTATAAACTATAAATACCTTCCAAGGGTTTTCTCTTTAATCTTTAATGGGAGGCATTTCCGTCATTTTTTCAAGCGTCAATATGGAAGAATGTATATTTTGTCAACATTCACCGTTTGGCGAATTAGTTCCAGCTTATGCAATTACATCGCGCGAAATTATAGCAATGTTAGTCGTTATCAGGGCTACAGAAGGTCGAGGCGTACACGTGGAAATCACAGTCGCTATGGTGACTAGTTATAGTAGTTGCATAGTACAATGAGAGCGATAACGAAAATATTTTTATTGCTTTTTGCTTACACAGTTTTGTTACTGGTAATAAAATGATCGCTGTGTTACCAACTTCAATTTTAGTCATTTTTAAAAAGATTTTACAATCAAAACGTTCGTTTAAATAAGTAAGGCCAAGTTGCATAAACATACAAAATGAACCATGTTTTCTAATAACGCACACCTGTTGGTTTAGATTAGACTCTAGAAGATCAGATCTTATCATTAATTATTATTCTTTATAAATAGATGCAATGAAGAAGTTTGGCAAAAAACTAAGCAAACTTGAAAATCTAGTTTTTGATAAAATAGTAGGCATCAGTGTGGGTTCATTAGCAGTAATATAAATACTGGACAAACTAGTGACATTAAACATAATGTGACAGAACTTAGAGACACCAACAATAGCGAAACGGCTGTGTTTGCCATTACAGAAGATTTTCATACAAAGACGGTGAGTTCGGTTGCAGAATAGCTGATTACAGCATCGCATGCTGGATTTTAACTGCAAGATGGACAAAGGATGAAAAGAGGAAGAGCATTGGATTCGTTATAAAGAGAACAGTTAGTTTCTTGTAACGTTTTAGCTGGAGGTGTGGTGGGTGTTGGCGCAATTCCTCGCCCACGTTGTTCGCCTACAGTCGCGTAGTCGGGCGCCACTGAAATATATTGTGACGTTTTGCATTTGATAATGCCGACATAGTTACCCGTACTATTTTAAGTGACCTCGTTTTCAATGAAATAAGTTTGCAAAGAAAATTTTCCGATGAATCTTCCGATTAATAAATAGAGATTCATATTTTACGCTAGTTGACCTTTACACATAGGTTTTGGAGACCACTGAGTAAGTTTTAACATGAATCCAACATAATTTGACTCTAAAATCACGGAAGTGCGTCAATGTTAAGAGACTATGGAATAGGAATATGGAATATATGAATAATTGAATTCTCCATTCCAATTTGTCCTTGACACTTCACAAAATTTCACGTGTAAGAATAGAAACGCTTTTAAAAACTACTGTTATACTTGATATGGTATTAACAAGTTTACATCCAACCGCCACAATGTGGATAATATTGTTTTTGCAAAATATGACAAGAGGTTATCGGGTGATATAATTAAGTTTATTCAAATAAATAATCGTATGTTTGATATCCGACATATATATTTACATATCATTCATACAAATTATGCACTTTGTAGGTAAGAGTGATAGGGTATCAGTATGTTAATCAGTAATTAATATGATTTCCGAAGAAACTTAGTACATAACTTTTGTATTTTGACAAAAAATTATCAACTGTAGATGTTTCTAGACTATTATAATGATAAAAATAGAGGACCCACATGAAATGAAAGTGACATTGCAAGCGAAACGAACGTAAATCCAGAAATAACTTTTTAATTTGGAAAATTGCTAAGCGACAAGTTTCCGTGGGTCGTGCAATTTAGGTAACTCAATCCCATTATAAATAAGTACGACCGTCGCCCATTTAACACGCCTAAACTAGTCTAGACGTACTCGGGAGTGAATTAGGGCACGAAAATCAATAGAACCAGAATCCATTTATAGTTTCACGCCAAGTTTCCACGTTAAACTCGTAGTAACGTTTACTATCAAGTATTAACTGTGCAAACAATACTATTGTGAACTAAATGTTTGCTGTTCGATGCTCATAATAGGTTTGCAACTTAATCTTCTTGTGAGGTAATCATAACGTTGGGAAAATGGGTTACATGAAAATAGTAAAAATATTTAGTTTATGGTAGCACCAGAAAGTGCTGATATTGCCATTAACTAGGGCTTTTAGACTTAGAATGTCGTCTTTTAACACGTGCAATTCACAATTCATCGACGATCAGTGGACAAAATTGCCATTCTGATGTTATCCACTGGAGCAAATTCAATTTATAGATGGATTAATCCAAATACAAATATTACATAACATAAAATATACAACATTTACAGTAATCTCTTTCAGTATTCAAAAACAGATGATACTATTATCGCTTACGTCAATTACGGTAACGTGTTACCTTTGTTTGACTCTTGCGCACTGCGATAGTCAGACCACCAACAGAACAGTTCAAACACAAATATTTTTATTGTGACGATGATGGAGGTCAATAGGAGAATGATTTTATTTATCGTTTATGTTTTAAAAACAAAGCTTCAACGTTCCCTGATCAAACAGAAAGACCTGCCATCTATCTTTATCAAAGGACTAATTACCATTGCTAATGCGTCTGATGCTGAGTCCAAAGTTCACAGAGGTACAAACAGCTATAAAAAGACACATCTGTCTTATTTACATGGCCTACTAGGATAGTGAACTCATAATTCACATACGGCTGATCTTCAATCAGACAATAACGTTTGCGATGATACCGATCTGTTGCATGTGCAGAATACTAATGAGCATGGCGTTTGTACTCGCAGTGCCGAGTAAGACTAACGCAAGGCAGGTGCACATCTCAAAGGCCACTTGATCGCAACTGCATTTGGAGTCTCGCTCGTCATTTCCGTCGTACTTCCGTAAACAACTGCCTCAACCTCGCGCAAATGGGAAAAACGTGATTCACATCCTCGTCATCATAAAACTCTATGGCTTGGCAATAAGCCGCTTACAACTAGTCTAGACGTACCGATCACGGTGACCATCGATGACTTGTACTTCTCAGTATAATTAACTTTTTTGACATCTGTCAACCGTTGCGTGTGTGGTTAGTTAAGTCCCCACGGAGTTAACACGTTGAAGCAATGCTATTGTTCTACATGTTTTTGTTTTGTATCGTCGAGCT